CCCAAGATCACTTACATATGCAATATAAGTTCAAAAGCATTTAACAGTATAAGTTCCAAAACTATACAGTGCAACAGATATTCATGCCATGTGTGTCAAAACTATTCTACTGGCCAGAGAAATGCAGGAATACGTCTATTACCTACAGTTAGTACAAGGAACATCGCTTGCACCTCACCCACAGCCTCACCCTATTGTATGTACCACATACTCAGGCTTACCGTATAGGTGGAACACCACATGCATATCATAAAGGCACTTGCATATAACAGCTCAACAGCATTTCACAAATCAATATATCACGAAAACAACATCATGCATATAACCATACCCCCAAGGGACATGGTGGAACCAACAATGGCTAAGCCGAGGACTCGAAAGCTTACCTTGCAAGCTAACAATCCAAGCCAAGAGTCCACACAACCTCAAAGCCCAAACACATATGTATCACAATCTGTTATGGACCAATAATATATCAACAATCATACTCTACAAGCATGCAACATAAAGACAACGCCTTTCCTTTTATGTTTTACGTCTTAAGGCTTCTAACAAAGCCCCAAGCCCTTCATCACTTGATTCTGACTTAGTTCAATTAAAACATAAGTTCAACTTCCTCAATCTAGGGTCTACAAACCCCCAATAGCCTACTGTATGAACAGTGCAACTACTGTTCTTCGAAATCCCAGAATATCTGGATATTTATCGGGGACATATCCGGATATCAATATCCGGATATCCATAGACCCCATATCCAGTTATGCATATCCAGATATTTCGCGACAGAATGCAGTTCTGCATTTCGCGAAAATCCAAACCAAAGGTCCAACTTTTACCGATTACAGAAGCTTAGACATGCCTTTATAAGTTAGTTAAGCATTACCCAACAAAACAGATTTTTGTTCAAGAATGAAATCTTATTGGAACCGTCCAGTTCATCCTTCGGAACCATATCCCATCCTGGATTTGATGAAATAGGATGAATTGAGACGGTATTTTGTAAATACATAATTATCTTGAATATATTAACTATTTCTTTCTTTTTCGATCGCCTACGCTAGGTTATCACCTTAGCTTGTTACATGCATCAAGGTTCCATTTTTTAGCCACTTAAACTCAAGTTCAAAGGTTCAACCACTTACCCAAGCTTGAAAAAGAGGAAGGAGTGGTCTTGGAGCTCACCAATGGCTCCTCACAGTTCTGACTTTGCCAAAAACGAAAATGACAACACAAGCTTGGACCTTTCTACACAAAGGAAGCTTCTTGAAGCTTCACAAGCCAAGAACAAGATGGTTCTCAACCCAAACTTCAAACTCAGCACTTAAACTGACTTCAAACAGTGGCAAAAGACTCAGGGAATGCACCCTCACAATGATAGCTCTCAAGTGTTTACAAGAAGAAAAGAGAAGGATCAATGCAAAAGGTGCCAACTTGCTCAAGAAAAGGTGAAGAAGGCCAAAGGGAAAGTATTCTGGTCAGCCACCCTCAACAACTCACGTAGCATAAAGGAGATGCCTAAGGTTTTGTGCAATTAAGAGTATTTATAGCCAATTAACCATTAAACACACAATATTATCATTACTTGCTATGCTTAGCATTTTAATCCCAAACTCAGGATTCTTAACCTACTCAATTTTACAAGAATTATCATATTTTTTATTATATTTTTCGGAGCACCTTTCCGGTACGCGCTTTTCCATAGCCAGTATCAGTTATGGCACCAGTTCTCATGATTTTAACTTGAAACTCGTTTTACAAGTCTTATATATTATTCTAGTAATATTCATGCACTTATTATAATTTTCTGGAATACTTTATCGGTACACATTTATACCGACTAGTAGAACCGGTATCTGCACTTTTCGTCAGAAAAGCGACTTTCAGCAGTCTTAATCACTTACTAAATTTATTAAAGCCTAAAAATCATTATTAGGGTCAATTATGGAATTATTTCCTAATTCTCACATTTAATTAATTAATTTCCTTAATTAACGGTGCAGGTTCTTACATAGAGGATCCAAAAAAGGGGAACTGATTCAAAAAAGGATACATCCGTCGAGATAAAGTATCGACATAAAGTGGGAGAGTAGCAACGATAACCCTTTCGAGACCGAGGATAACCCAGAAAAACACATTTATGAGACTTGGGAGCAAACTTATCCAGACCTGGACCAAGATGATGAACAAAACACGTAGAACCAAACACATGTGGAGTTAAAGGATATAGAGCTTGATGGGGAAATAAAATAGAGTGAGGTACCTTATGATTAAGAACAGATGATGGCATGCGATTAATGAGAGAGCATGCAGTAAGTATAGCATCACCCCAGAATGTGTATGGAACATTGCCATCAATTAACAAGGCACGAGTGGTTTCAACCAGATGGTGATTCTTGCGCTTAGCTACACCATTTTGTTGAGGTGTATGAGGGCAAGATGTTTGATGAAGAATGCCATGAGATGAAAAGAATTGTTGAAATTGATGAGATAAGTACTCACATGCATTATCACTACGAAAAGTATGAATAGGAATACCAAATTGAGTTTTTATTTCATTATAAAATAACTGAAAAATAGAAAACAACTCAGACCGCTTTTTCATTAAAAATAACCAAGTACATCTGGAATAATCATCAATAAAAGTAACAAAGTACTGAAAACCTAGAGTAGAAGAATGACGACTTGGTTCCCAAACATCAGAGTGGACCACATAAAAAGGAGAAACAGCTTGACGATTAAGACGACTCGGAAACGTACTACGAGTAGGTTTCCCAAACTGACAAGACTCACAATTTAAAGTAGAAAGAGACGATAAATGTGGAACCATCTTCTGAAGCTTTGCAAGACTAGGATAACCCAGACGAGCATGTATAGTAAGAGGAGAATCCACAGTGGGGCAGGCTGAAGAAGAGGGAACTAGTTGATAGAGGCCCTGAGACTCACATCCTTTGGTAATCTCCTTCCCCGAACTCTGATCCTGAAAGATGACAGAGGTTTTAGTAAAAGAAACAACACAGTCAATGGATTTGGTCAAACGACTAACAAAAAGTAAGTTAAAAGGAGAATCAGGAACATATAGAACATGATCCAGAGATAAAATGGGTAAAAGAAGAACCGTGCCAATCCCCCTTGATTGGACCAGAGACCCATTGGCCATAGTAATAGTGGGAAAAGAACCAGTAGTACAAAGGGAAGTGAATAAGGACTTATTACCAGAAATGTGATCAGAAGCCCCAGAATCAAGAGTCCAAGGGCCTATAGAGTGCAACTGAGAGATGCCAGCAAAAGAATTACCAGTGGTAGCAATGGATGCAGTAGGACCTGATGTTTGCTTCTCAGACCACCAAGTCACAAATTCGTTCAGAAGAGCAGCTGGAGGTTGTGCACTGGAAGGTAACTCTGGAGCCGAGGTACTAGAGAAAGCCTGAGCAACATGAGCATTCCGAGGAGGTGGAGGTGGCCTTCCATGAAGCTTCCAACAGCGCTCAACAGTATGATTGGTCTGATGACAATGAGTGCATAATAGCTTTCCTTTAGAGAATCGATGTCCACAACCATACCCTTGAGCAGCAAGAGCGGAAGAGTCAACAGAATCTTCTCTACGTCCACGACCATACCCTTGAGCAGCAAGAGCGGAAGAGTCAACAGAACCCACTGGGGGTATATGCATCATAGGAGGTGCTGATGACGTAGAGGGCTTAGAGGGAATTCTAAGCAAGGTAGACATCACGGAATCCGCTGTAGGAACTATAGCATATCCTAATATTTGATCCCGATTGGCAGATAAACGGTCAGGAAAACAATATAAAATGAACAACATAAAAAGTGTATTAAGCTGTTCATGTTCCTTAGTAACATCACCAGTGAGAGGCAGAATTTCATTAAGATCATGAAGTAGACTCTGAGTTTTCTCCAAATATTCAGTCATAGGACAATGGAAGTCCCGAGGAGCAAAAGTAGTCATCAATTTCTGACACACACCATAGAGTCTCTGGGTATCATTGGTGTACAGTGCTTTTGCCTGACTCCAAACAGCTTCACAAGTACTAGCAGGTCGAAAAATCTGCTTAATAGACGGATGAAGAGTAACTTTAATGAGACTACACAACTGAGCATCAATCATCTTCCATCGTGTGCGCTCATTGTCCGCCACAGATCCAGCCTTAGTGGTAAGATGGGATTGATAATTCTGCCCATCCAACCAAAGTCGCAGATCGGAAGACCAAGAATCATAGTTGGACCCATCCAATTTATCCACACTCAACGGAGCAAGGATATAATTTGAAAAAATAGTAGACTCCGACTTTTGTCCAGCTGGAGTCCCAGAAACAGAAACATTGGAGACAAGAGAGTCCATAATAAAAAAAAATATCAGAAAGAACATATCACACAACTAACCGGAAGAAGAGGAATCTGTGCGTCAACGCAAAAAGATGTCGAAACAGAAAAACAAGACCAGATACAGAATCGTCTCAGCAAGACGAAAAAATCGCAACCAGCTGAGTCCATATTCTATTTTAATTCTATATTTATATATTCTTTCTAAATTAAACTTATATGTATTCTTTCTATTATAGATATATATATTCTATTAATCTATTAATGCTTCATAAATAGTAACTCTATTTATATTAAGAATATTCTATATATATTTATATATTTAGAATATTCAGAGAATATTCGAAAACTTTTCTATTTTGATTCTAAAAAATTTTTGATTGTTTTTTTTTTTGTTTTACATATACATTAACTGATATCTTTACCATAGATAGATTTTTGAATAGTGCCTCAGATATCATAGATATGGTCATGTTCTATTCAGTGGAATAAAGATAAAATAGAAATTATCTTTTGGAGAGGTGGCTGAAAGTGGTTGATAGCTCCGGTCTTGAAAACCGGTATAGTTCAATATATATATATATATATATATATATATATATATATATATATATATATATATATATATATACAGATAGAACTATCGATTTTTCAATATGACCTACCTTCTTGACTCAATTCAATGCGTATGGTGAAATTCAAAAAATTCCTAGTTCCAACACTAGATTTCATGTTTCAATTAAGAGGTGTCATGGAAAGAACGGGTTCAAAATCTCGATCAATTCCTTTTTCAAATCCTGCCGCAGCTGCGCGGGCTCTTCCCGCGTGCCATAAATGACCTACGAATAGGAAGAATCCTAGAACAAAATGAGAAGTAGCTAACCAACTTCTGGGAGAGACATAATTGACTGCATTGATCTCTGTAGCTACGCCACCCACGGAATTTAAAGAACCTAAAGGAGCGTGAGTCATATATTCCGCGGAACGTCGTTCTTGCCAAGGCTGTATGTCCCTTTTTAGTCTACTCAAGTCCAAACCATTCGGACCCCTTAGAGGTTCTAACCAGGGAGCACGCAAATCCCAAAACCGCATAGTTTCTCCACCAAAAATAACCTCTCCGGTCGGGGAACGCATTAGATATTTACCTAAACCGGTAGGTCCCTGAGCAGATCCTACGTTAGCCCCAAGACGTTGGTCTCTAACTAGAAAAGTAAATGCTTGAGCTTGAGAAGCTTCAGGTCCGGTGGGTCCGTAAAACTCACTAGGATACGCGGTATTATTAAACCAGACAAAGCAACAAGCAATAAAACCAAAAACAGATAAAGCACCTAAACTATAAGACAAGTAAGCTTCTCCAGACCATACAAGTGCACGCCGAGCCCATGCAAAGGGTTTGGTTAAGATATGCCAGATTCCACCAAGTATACAAATGGAACCCAACCATACATGCCCTCCAATTATATCTTCCAAATCGTCCACACTAACAATCCAACCCTCGCCTCCAAAAGGTGATTTTAATAAATAACCAAATATAATACTTGGAGTAAGGGTTAAGTTGGTAATTTTTCTTACATCTCCCCCCCCTGGAGCCCAGGTATCATATATACCCCCAAAATACAGAGCCTTGAATACTAGAAGAAAAGCACCTATACCTAATAAGATTAAGTGAATACCCAAAATGGTAGTCATTTTATTTCTATCTTATATATCTCAGTCCGATATGAACCCAAGCCCTTCATTCTTTTGGCTAGTTTGGAAAGCATTATACCTTGGTTTGGCAAGCTGAACAGAGTTTGTTTCCTTGATATGAACTGTGTTTTGATTCCTGTTGGGTAGGGGTGAAACTGGGTCGGGCCGGCCTACAGGGGTTTACGGCTCGGCCTACATCAGGCTAGACCTGACTTAGTGTGTTTTGTATAATAGGCCGGGCTCGGGCATTAAGAAAGCCTGTTTAATAAAAAGGCCGTAGGCCCACTTTCAAAAGGCCGGGCCTATAAGTCTACAGGCCGGCTTGTATTGTACTATTTATTTTAAATAAAATAAAATATAGTAAATATGCCATGGAGAAAAAAAAATATAAATTTAATCAATTGCAAATATTTATAACTTAATTATATTCGATTATATTTTAATAGAAATCTTACTTTATTTCTTATATAGGAGGAACCAACATCTCAACATGTTAGATTGTGTATATGAATATATTAAAAAAAATTTGGGAGAGGTTATTCTTACTACAAGCATCATGATGTGTTTGTTGGATTCATGTAGTTATTTTAATTTACATAGTATGGATTTGTTTGTTAAATCTGATGAAATATATGTTATTTAGTTTGAGCATTTTGCTTTTGAAAATGACTTAAATGCATATTGTATGAGTTTTGTTATGATTCATGATTCTGTTTGGACGTTGAAATTATGATTTTTGGTGTAGCAACAAAATTTGAGTACTTTGTAAAGTTGATTCATGGTTCTGCTTGGAAGTTAAAAATTAACAGGCTAACGGGTCAAGCCAGGTCATTTGTTTTTTATAAACGGGTCAAACCAGGCTAACAGTTAGACTCATACTAGGCTTGGGCCAGGCCAAATTGAAATTTTTTGACGTAGGCTTGAGCTTTTCGGAGCAAAGCTTGGCCCAGCCCACTTTCACCCCTACTGTTGGGGTCTGATTTTACATTAGAAAAATTGACAGGCTAAGTTAAAGGATGGCTTCTAGGCATTAATTGTGTTAGTTCATCCGAGGAAACTCCCAAATCTGTGCTTGATAAATTTGGCCATGGAATTATTACTTGTTAATAACTATGTTTCAACTACACCGACACGGGATACGACACGATACACCGACACGTAAATTTTATAATTTTGATATGTTAGGACACGTGATATTAAATAATATTTTTAATATATATAATATAATATATATTTAATACATATAGCAGCTCATAATAAATCATATAACTAATCAAATATTGAAATTCTATAACATAAATATAAAGCAAAAATTATTTTTCATGTCAAATTCCTTAACAGAAAATATTTAATTAATAAATTAATTTTTCATGTTTAGTTAGAAAGATAAATAAAATAAAATTTGGATCTTAAAAAAAAATGTCAAAAAAATAAAAATGTCAAAAAATATTGATCGCGTGCTGTAATGTGTTGGAATGTTGATTGCGTATTGAAAAATATTGATCACATACAAAATATGTCAGCATCCGACACACATTTTTCATCCAAAAAAATATGTCGTGCTTCCTTGGTTGATAATACAAAAACCTTATCATAGTCTTTAAAAATCACATATGTTGACTATATTAGTCCTTAGTCTCCACACATATTAGTCTTAGAGAATGACTAATATGTCCAACATTGGTGCTACCTAGTGACTAAATTGGTATTATTCTTTAGGATTTTACTTTACCTTGGTTTATTTGCAGTCCATATTTTTTATCACTTTTTTATTTTATTTTTGGAGTAAAAGGGAGACAATATTTTTTTATCACTTTTTCATTTGTGGTAAAGTTACATAGTTATAGGCTGCGGCAAAAAGATTTATCCACCTCATACACATATCTATCAGGATCCACGGCAGCCGCAGCATCATAAATACTTTTGCCAAAGTTATATAGCTAATTTCCAAAGACAAGCACTGCACCATTGCATTTGTCATAAATCACATTATCTCTGATTAGAAAAATAATCAGGAAGATTATATATCTCTTGGCGTTGCTGCAATACAATGCCCGCCTCAGCCTTTTTATAAAGTTTTATATTCTTTTTGACTCCCTTGACCCTTCCAAGCTTTCTTCGTTCACTCCTCACTTCGTCAGAAGCCAACCTATGTTGTAAAGAAAAACCAAAACAACAGCATGGGCAGGACAACAAAATGACTGCCTTCACTGACGGTTGATCAACTTCTTGTGTTGATGGGAACACTTCAATTCAAGTTTACCACTTTTTTGACGCAGACGTACAACCAAAAGGAAGGAAAAATTCCCAAAATTATTTGGGGGCAGAAAAACATGAATAGATAAGCAGGCTCTTGGGGAAGACAAAGGGTGATTCAATCCATGGAGGTTGCTGATAACAAATAACTATAAAACCTTCACTTTTTTCTGTTAAACGGAAGAAGAAGAAAAAAAAGGGAAGAGTTAGGCTGCAGATTCTTTTTAGCTATCAACAATCTAGAGTTTTAATTTTATTTGTTTTTATTTATTTCATTTTCCAAGCAAGAAGGCATTCAAAGGCAATTCTCAACAAAATATATATACATCTCAGTAAAATGGGGTTGCAGAGAAAATGAACAGAACTTTTCTCAGTATCATCAGAATGAAGTCAAATATTATAAAAGCAAGACATTATAATTTATCCTAAAAATCCATATTTTCGTAATCACTCTAATAATAATATATTTCAAATACTTAATATTGAAAAATATAAACATATCATTAATTTTATAACATCGTTCCAAACTTTTTCTCAAATGTCCATCAAAATTAATATAAATAATCAAACAAGCAAACGAGTTGGTTTACTAACCTAGTAGATATTTCTACATACAAAGTCCGTTGGCATCCTTTCTCTTTGTCTCTGTGCAGCCAAAAATTTATATGTACGTGGTTGGACCAATCATACTCATGTAAGGTTTGACTTATTTTGAAAGAAAGAAAAGTTAGTAAACTTGTCAAACTTAGTAACTAAGTTACTTGTTGTGTTGTTCACTATGTAAGTCAGTTTACTCTCCTTCTTTTTATCCTTGTGCAGCCGAGATTTCATGTGGCAAAAGGAAGAAAATGAACCAATGAAATTCACTTAGACAAGTCAAAAGTTTTAAAGAAAGTTAACAACTTGGCAAATAAGTTAAGTGGCTTTGTCTTTTGTTTATGCATATTCGGTTGTCTATTTCTCTCTTTGTATCCCACGCTATTTTCCTTTCTTTTTCATGTCTTCATGGCCGAACCATAGAGAGGAAAAAGGGCAAGCTTGTATCTTGTGATTCAGACATTTTTAAAACATGATTTTCACATGAAACTTGTAACTTGTGAGCTTGTGAACCTAGGCATCTACTTTTTTCCTCTAGAGAGCTTTGTTTGAGTGTGTTTTCTCCTCTCCTAAGCTGCGAACCTGCTGCTGTCTTTGGAGGTTAAGATGCTTTGTTTGATGGTTTGAAGTTTGGAAACCAATCTAGAGTTGCTTTGGAAGCTATTCAAGGTAATGAGCTTGATGTTTGATGGCTGAAAAATGAGTTATGAACTTGGTTGACTATGGTTTAGGGTTTGATAATATGATGGTTAATCATGATGTTTTGATGTGGTTAAGGCTTGATTATTGATTTAAAGTGAAACTAAGCATGAAGAGCTAGTTAATATGCATGTTGGTTGGTTGAAAAGCCTAAGCATGATTTCGTCCTAAGCATGGTTATATTAGTATACCATGTATTTGATGAAAAGTCTTTGAGAAAATATGAATCATGTATCATTAATTGATAGAAAGTTTGATTGGAAACAAGTAATTGTTGTTAAAGAATCAATGTAAGTCACCTGGTAAATTGTAGAATTAATATGTAAGTGTTAGTTGTTTGAATTGCTTAGGTGATTGATGATGTTTTGTTATGGTAATAGAGTGGAGTCCAGAGAAGTAATATTGGAGATCCAGTTATTTGCCAAAAAAGCTTTTGAGGTAAGCTCTTGGTTTAGGAGTTTTTTCCTATCTTGTGGTTCTACCAGAATCCCATTGAATAATGGTTTATAACTGTGTGACTGAGTATGTTAGACACTAGTATAGTTGCATTCATATGGAGTATGGAGATGTGACTATTTGTTTTGATATGATTTGTCTGATAAGTTCTGTTATGCTCTGTACAGTTTGTTATGCTCTGTTCAGTTTGTTATGTTTCGTTTAGTTCTGATATGTATTGTTCTGTTTGATAAGTATGATGATGCTCTGCTCTTTCTGATGAGTCAAATGATGTTCTGATATGTTTGGATAAGTCTGATACGTTATGTTATGTTTGATAAGTTATGATTCGTTTTGATAAGTCTGATAAGCGTGATGTTCTGATAAGTTTGATGATCTGTTCCATCTGATATGTTTTGATAAGCCTGTTCTGTCTGATAAGCTCTATTTGTTCTGATATGATCTGATTTGTCTGATCTGTTCTGATAAGTTATGATATGTTCCGATCTGTCAGATAAGTTTTGATTATCTGATAAGCTTGATTTTTTTTAGAAGTTCTGATGATGTGATAGTGGATTAGTTATGAATCTTGTTATAAGACAAGTCTTGAGGTGTGTGTGTGTATAAATATATATAGATATATATATATGTACACACACACACACACACACACACACACACACACCGGTTCTTGGCCAATGAACATGCTAGTTATATGCCATAAGTGCATCCAGTTCTCAATCGGCTCTGATGCTGAATATGATAGTAGTGCATCCAGTCTTCGGGTGACTCTGGTTTTTGTTAGCACCATGAATGCATCCAGTCCTCGGTTGGTTCTGGTTACTCCATAAGAACTTTTGTTATAAGAGATATATATTTGGACTATCTGTCTATAGATTTTAACTACAGGATGTCGTATTTTCAGTTATATGATATAATATCGGTTATGTTGTATACCATTATGTATGAGGCAGATTACGTAATGACTGAGATCCATAAAGGCATCATTGGTCATCAATGATCATCACTTAGGAGGCAAATCATTAGGTCGGAATGCATTACGAGCTGGATACTACTGACCCACAACGGAGGCCGACTCCAAAGAGCACGTAAAGAAATATGACCAATGCTAAACACATGCATGTGTCCATCACGCTCCCCCAGATGAGCTCTAGAGTATCACGGCACCCTGGGCATTTTATAAATGGGGAATGTACCTCTTAGGCCCGTTCACAGTGAGGGAGGGACAACTCCATTGGTTGATAGTAGCTGTAGATTACTTCACCAAGTGGATAGAAGTCGGACCCCTTACCACCATGACCTCGGCCAGAGTTCAAAGGTTCTTTGAAAGGAACATTGTGAGCCTATTTGGAATCCCAACCGAGATCGTTATAGACAACAGAACTCAATTTGCTAATAAGAAGTTCCAAGAACTCATGTATAAATACAAGGTTAAACATCGATTTTCTTATGTAGAGCACCCCAATCCAATAGGCAAGCTAAAGCTACAAACAAGGTGATTGTGGATGGGCGTAAAAAGAGCATGTTTGATGCAAAAGGAAATTGGGTACAACATTTGCACCTCGTTTTATGGGGATACAGAACGAGTACCCAAACTTCTGCAGAGGAAACCCCGTTCAAGTTGACCTATGGTTGCGAGGCGATGATCCCGGTCGAGATTGGAGAACCATTTTGAAGAAGAATGCAAAGATTGCAAGGAACAAAGAAAGAAAATAATGAAGCCCTAACTGTAGAGCTCGACTTATTGGATGAAAACAAGAAAAATGTAGATACAAAGATATGATGGCAAAACGCCTCATGGCGGCAAGGTACAACATGAAGGTCAGACCTCGGTCTTTCCAGAAAGGCGACCTAGTACTAAGAAGGGTGGACATTGGCAACAAAAATTCCAGAGATGGGAAGCTCGCTGCAAATTAGGAAGGCCTCTATAGAGTTAAAGAAAACTTAGGAAAATGAGCCTACATTTTGGAAACGACTTCAAAGAAGCCCATTAAAAGAACTTAGAATGCAGACAAGCTTAAAGCTTACTATAACTAAGCTTGAAGTCTAAGTTCCAGGAATCCATAGATAGGACCTTATTTCTACCTAAATAAGACGAGCTTTAAGCTTAGTCCATAGATAGGATTTTATTTCTATGCAAATACAATGAGCTTTCAAGCTCAGTCCATAGATAGAACTCTACTTCTATGCAAATAAGATGAGCTTTTGAGCTCAGTTTATGAGTATGATTTATTTCTATGTAAATAAGGCGAGCATCCAAGCTCAGTCCATAAACAAGATTTTTTTCCTTACAAATAAGACGAGCCTGTGAGCTCAGTCTTTGTTAATTCTCAAACGAAAAAATGGGACGAAAGTATAAGTCTTCCATTATGACGCTATTTTTGAAAAAATTTATCATTATCAATGAAGAAGGAAAATTATCATTAATGTCCACACTTCGATATGCAAAACCAAAATAAGGAAGAGTATAAAGCGGTTTGACTGGGCCAGCGAGCCCGTAAGGTCGAACTTCAAGAAATAGTATAAATGGGACCTCAAACCCATAACTGAACAAAAGGAATAACCTCAGAATGGATAAACGAGGAATTAAATTGCAGAGTTAAAGTTCAAAAGCCGAAGTAAAAACAACAATTTTTATACAAACCCAAAAAAGGGGACCCAAGTTCCCAAAACCAAAATTACAAATCAAGTCAGTACACTAACCCTTCAAATATCCCATGCAGCTAGAATGTCCCCGCCATAAGCGTCCTCATCAACGTCCTCCTGATGATCTCCCGAATCTGGAGTTCTGGGCATGATTGAGTCGTCATTCACCTAATAGGTAAAATCCATGCCGTCAATTATAAGACCCGGGTTTAGAACCTGAGTTTGAGCGATGGCATTATTGAAGGACTACTCAGCTGCCTTCTCAATCATAGCGCTAGCATCATCGAAGTCGGCCTGAAGATTGTTTATCTGAGTATCCTTCTCCGACATCGCTAACGCAGAAGCCTCTAGATTCGTCTTGAGTTTGGCAATTGAATCCTTAAGGGACACATTCTCGGCTTCTAAGGATTTCTTCAGCTCCATGGCGACCTTCATGTTCGCCTATTCCTTAGAGAGGTCTTGAATTCTGAACTCGCACTCTTGAATTCTGAGCTCGGCAGCAACAACAAAAGAAAAAGACTTCTCATAGTTTATGTGAAGATCTTCGAAGGTGTAACACCCCGTTCTAGAACCGATTTGTTAACATTGCTTTATGATATTAAGCACAGTTACAATCACATTGGTTCAATTAAAAACCCGGATAAATTTCATTTTCTTTTTAAAACTTACTTGCTTTTCCTCATTAACAATGCCGAGTTTAAAATAATCAATTGTGTGACCATAACCTTATTACCTTGCGGAATAATCAGAACTAGACTTAATATCATATTATTATTTGTTCAAGTTCAATACTAAACTCTCTTCGCTTTTTATTAAATTGTACAACTTGTACTTACTTTATAGTTCTCATCTCACACTATACGTATCCACTCTTTGTTTACTTAAGAAATTAATATACTGCCTTTATGGTCTCAATCTTCCCAAAATATTATAGGATTCTTTATTAGCTACACGTGGGTTCAAACCGCGCTCAAATCAGAGCACCGTAGCTCAAGTTACGCATTTTCTAAGAAAAGGGTGCAAAATTCCCAAGACCCCCACGCCCATAGCGTGGGCAAACAGAAAGGTTGACGCTTAGCGCGTGAATCTCACGCTCAGAGCGTGGCAGTTCTGGAGCAAGCCCCCAAAACAGGACCATCTGACCTCCTATGGTATTCTACCCATAACTTGAGTTGTACTCATCCAAATTAACCAATCTTGGTCTCTATGGAAAGCTAAGAAAAGGATCTATAACTTCCATTAAGACTCAAGGGTCCAAATCTATCATATAAGATACGAAAATTGGACAACAAGACAGGATGTCTTTATTTCAACATGGATTTTCAAACCCCTGGTCCTCTTTCACCTAATTGACATCATATAGTCCTTCCAACACATGAATTCTGACCTTTCAAAGTACTCGTACATCAAGAGAAGCATGCAAATCATTTCATCATACAAATATCTCTATTAATTACAACATTACATCATGCCTTAATTACAATTCATCAAAGTCTCATTTACATTATAGTTCCTACAATTTAATATACATGCCAAGGGACTTAGCTACAAAAGGAACATGATCAAAGCAAGTAACCATGTATCAGATACCCATTACTACAATGATCATGCACTAAGTCCTCCAAAATACATCATGTGGCATCAAAATATACATATAGCAATTCTAAATGGCATGCAACTCAAAATGTCCAGCTATCAAGTACAATCTACTCATGCTTCTTGCCTCGATCAACCTCACCTCTATCAGTACCTGAAATGATGCCCCACAACACGGGGTGAGATATACGAATATATCACAGTAAATCAGAGGTCCTTGGAGATCACTCCACCCTAAGGTTCACTTTCGATGTACACATAATCATAACAGTTCAACACATTCCTATCCACAACCATCATATGGACTTCCAAGAGAGATCCACTAAGGGTTGTTTCTCTTAGGCTTTTACCACCTGGAGATCCACATAGGGTTGTTTTCAAGGGAAGTCCCTAACCTCAATCTAGGAACCTCCAAGAAAGATCCACATATGGTTGTTTCTCTTATGCTCTAACCACATGGAGATCTACATAGGGTTGTTTCCAAAGGAAGTTCCTACCAATCATCCTCATCATAATACTATCACTCATAACCTCAATCACAGTCCTCAACCATTACCTCATTCATTATTTCTACCTCTACAACCATTCCTCAACCATTCTTAAACAATCAAACATCAATTAATCAATCATAACATTTATCAATGCATAGATCAATGCATGGGCATAAAATTACTATCATAATTACATATCACATCTCATAAACCATTTCTCCTCAATGGAGTATGGTGGAACACTTAATGGGATCAACCCCAAGGTCCAAAGGTTTACCTTGCTCTTGAACTTTCCTCAATTGCTCACAACCACAAGGGTTGGTCACTCCACTTGGTCCTCTTGCCTCGATCCTAACAACACAAGGAATACAATCAAACAATGCTAACGATGCAAGGAAATCCATAGTTCCAAGCATAGATTTCTCCAAATATCAAAGCATATTAAAATAACACTCTAACTCATTTCTACCGTTTATTTAGCATTCCTAACAATATTTACAAAGACACCAAGCCTCCATCAAACTCAAACCCATAAAACCCCAAAAAACACTATTCATCAAAACCTTAATCATGCAAAACTCAAGGAATTTGTGTGAAAGAGAGTGGAAAACTAACCACCAAGGATCACACAACAAGGCAAGGTTGTTCCTCAAGCTTCCATGGAGGTAGAAACCAACAAATCCCTTACTTTCTCCTATGGGTCGGCTTTTTTGGAGGATGATATCCCACTCCACAAAGACTCCCACTCAAAACCAAGCTTGGATTATGAAAGAGGGGAAGGTTTGGAGTGGTTTAGGCTTTGGAATGGATGAATTTGGTTAAGGATAGCATAACCTAGGGTTTCCCCCTTCTTCCCTCTTCTCCCTCTCTTCTTCTCCTTCTCTTCCTTTCTTCCTTTCTTCCTTTCTGGTCCACGACGGGTTAGGGGAGGGATTTGGGTTCTTTTTTTCTTTTTTTGCTTGGTCACTTAACATATGTTAAGTGGCTTTAAGCGGGTATTAGCTCATCTATCTATTCAACTCCATTTACCACCAAACTTTACCCAAAGGTCTGGAATATTTTTCTAGAAATATGTCCACTTTTATTTTTATATTTTGGGTACTATTGCGTGCACCCATTTATACCCTTTAATTTTCACTGAGTACACTTGTTACCTCAAAAGTGACCCCAATTCACTTAATTAGGCCCTATACTTAATTTTACTCATTAATACATGCTTAATTACTTAATTTGAAGTAATTAATTAAATTATTTAAGTTAGGGATATTATAGAAGGTCTGAACTAGAGAAACTGCCTTCAAAGCTTCCTCTTGCATATGCTTCAGTCCGGCAAGGACGTCGGCATTGAGAGGAGAGCTATTGGTTATAACTGGTGGAGGCTTTATGGCGGCTTGAAGGCTCTTTGAAGCCCCTACCTTCCAAAGCTCCCCGAGCTCTAGGAACACTGCATTCCACATTAAGAGCCTAGAAGGAGGAAGGGGAAGAGACAGAATCGGCTGGTCATGGCAGTTGAACCAGGCCCAGTGAGGTCAAGGAGCTTGATATTTTGAGCTTCAACAGACGGAGAAGCCTCCGAAGACTTCCCCTTTAGAGAAGCTTTTCGCTTCTTAACATAAAGGCGGTAATCGTCGTCAGCCATGTAGCCTGCAAAGAAAAAGACAATGTCAGATATTGAACAAAGAAAAAAACAACATAATTAAGAAAGCCGAGGTATCATACAGAGTTCTCGACGAAGATCATTCTCAAATTTATCTACAATACGATTTAAGTCAATCAGGCCGTAGTCAAGAGCATAAGATCTTAAACACTTAAAAGCCAATAGCTCTTCATCGGAAAGAGAGGACTCGCAGGTTGTGTAATACTTTGCTCGCTTGATATAATGGTTCCGAGTCCAATAAAGCTCGAACTGAGCTGCAAACTTTTCGCCCCCGAAAGCCTCGACCGCGAACCAAGGCCGACATCCGGGATGGACTACCACTTTAAGGAAACAATCCTTGAAATTCTTAAAGGACTGAGAGTAGGGGATAAAAGTCCCACGATCAAGTGCAATGCTGATAGTAACCCAGCCTTTTCGCCCATTTTTCCTCCGTCCCAGTGCGGGCGGTATATACATTAAACATGAAAAAGAAAAGAGGAACTGTACATGGGAGGCTGAGTACGGTACACACTTGTTCAAACCCGCAGATAAAAGCTCACGACTTCGGATGAAGTTGGGTGAGCGCAACAAGAAGTCGGTGGAGCACGGCCACTTGGAAGTCGGAGAAAGGAAATCTCAACCCCAACTTCGTAATCAAGTCGCTATAGAGGAAGAAAAAAAGGGGTTCGCCGACGCTCGGACCTACGCACACTGGAACGTCACTAGGGGAAAGATCCACTCCCGACGTATTCCCTATTGGGAGACAGGATACCTCGGCAGGCGAAAGCCGAGATCACATATTAAGGATCTCCAACAATTCCCAATCAAAGCAATCGTCTACTCCTGAAGTTGAAGGCCCTGCCTTTGATGCCCTGGAACAGGAAGGGTAGGAACCAACATAAGAAGAAAATATAATAGGCTCAAACCTTTTTGGTTGAGGTTGAACCTGTCGAGATCTAAATCCGATATGGAAGAAGAGGAAGCACAGTCACTAAGAATAATAAGGGGAGATTGATCTAAGGATATAAGAGGAGCCCCCACAGAGGTAGAAACAAGAAAGTGGGAAAGCTAAAAGTCAGAGAAAGAAGAGGAGGAAGAACTATCACTAAGTTCTAGAGCGGGGATCCGATCTAAAATTTAGTTGGAGCTCGAACCAGTTTTAGGATCTTTGGTAACCGAGACTCTCGAGGTTAGAATAGAAGAACCTTCACCCCCCTCTTCAACGATGTTCAAGCCAGTAGAAGAACCAGCGGTGGAGCACGGTGCTAAGGTTGACTTGAAGGAAGTAGAGATTGAATCTGACGACCACCAACAGACCTAGCACATCCTCTCTGATGACCACCAATCGACTTAGCACGTCCTCATTCCCTAGTAGAAGACATCATTCTTCGCTTGCTACGCCCACCTCGGTGACTACGCAAAAGCAATTGCGTCGTCTCCTCCACAGTGTAATCCTCACCATAGAACTATAAACAGATCGACTTGGGAAGTTTTTTAACAAACTCCTACTCCTTCAAGTCCTTTCCCTTAGTAGCCTCACCCTTGTTTCCATCTCGGCCTATAGTAGAACCACACCCCGGCGCTGGAGTGGTCATTTCTAATGCGAAAGATGGGGAGATTAGGAGGAAAAGAACCTCAAAATTAAAGAGGGAACGAAAAAGAAAGCACTTGGAGGTATAAACAACACCCAGAAACAACCCCAAACTCAGAAATCAACCCAGTACTCAACTATCTTTCACAGTTAACATTCACAAAGCAAAAAAGGAAAAGAGCAAACAAGCAGAGAAATAAAAAGTGTACTTGTTTATGGGAGAAGAAAAAAGCAACCATAGAATCGTTCCGACGAAAATTGAGTAGAGGAATACACAAAATGAAGCTCCCAGAAGAAGAAAGTAGAAAATGAGAAATGAAAGCAACGAACATATATATACGAAGGTTCGCATGCAACAAGCGGGAAAACGAAAAGGAAACGGAGAGCTAAAAGGGCATGGATACAAATGTAATTGCATAGGCAAAACATTTCGTGCATTCCATATTGAACTAAAATAGCACAGAACAACTCACACTCCACGATGCAAGAACTTCCAGTTGCAAGGAGACACGTGAAAAAGCATAACCGCCAAAAGTCGCAAGAAGCCAAAAGGTCAAATCGGCTCCAATGCTAAACTCGGACAAAAGAAGTTTGTGAACCGAGATCAATAATGAAAGCAAAGAGAAAAGGCGTCTTCACTTAAGGTCGACTTGATATAGCTATTTGTTAGACAAAATAAAACTATATTGCGAACTCTGGAGCCTCCACATTGAAACCTATAACTCGAGCTTCGAGAAAGGAGGATTATAACATCTTAGAGAGACCGAGATCGAAGACAAGGCTATTCATCTCGGCAGTCCGAACTTCTGAGCTGCCGGGCTGGGGGGGCAACTGTTATGGAATATATCCATATCTTAACCGCATATCCCTTAAGGGATAAGGACATATCTACCTCAACAACAAGAGATGATAAAGATAAAGGGATAAGACCCTTATCCCTACAAGTTAGAGGTTGAATCTTACAGAAACTGAGAGATCTAAACAGACCAAGCCCAAGAGGTAACCCTATAAATAAAAGGCTAAAGACCTCAGGTACACACTTTTGACTTATTTACTATTACTGCCAATATTGTGCACATACCCACGTCTTGGCTATAAGCTTATTGCTTGTGCGCAGTGATTGGGATATTGGCTATAAGCCAACCAAGATATCTATCACTAAGATATTTCTGAGCGCATACTCCTAAGTGTGGCGTAATTTCTCACGATATGCCTTCGAGATGGTTGTGTGTTCAAAAGTTTTATCTTTTCTTGAGCAACTTTTATATTCCTCTTTGACTTTGTCGTTATTCAAATTCCAAATAAAACTCGAAAGTATTGTGATCATAAACCAACAAAAATAAAACTAAGAGGGAAACAAAAAAAAATAAGAAAAATATTTTCTTAAAAAAGGAAAAATTATTATGATTAAATAAATTAAAACAAGGAAACAAAATAAATTAAAAATAGAAACAAAAGTAAAATGAAAAATTACATCAACTAAAATAGTTCAAAATAGAAATCAATAGCCGAATCCAAGGCTCTAATAGCGACACTTATTGTTTGACACAAACTAATCCAAAACATTGACATGACCTTAAAATAAGTGCATTGACCAATTTAGCATAAGAATTAGAGGTTAAAGCAATAATCAACCACCTTGGATTTAATTATGTAAACCGAAATACTTCGAAAGGTAATGAATAATTGAAAATATTAAATAATAGATAAATTAAATTTAAAAAAGATTGTAAGCAATGAAAATAATAGGTTAGGTTTCGATTTCCCAAAATTTCTTTTGCCAATCCTGAATTCAGTTGTAATTCAATAATATTAATCTAGTTGCTAATCAAAATTTCCCAAGTCAACTAAGACCCAAACTCTTACGGTAACCCTTTGAATAAATCAGGCAATCATAAATCCTTTGGCCGACCCCTAATTAAATTCAAACATTAAGAACATAAAATTTATAAAGACTGCATAAATGTGACGCGAATGCCTCAGTCGTTATTCATCTTTATGAATTCCTATCCAATTCTAGATTGTATGTTCAGATCTCTTGTTTAGCAAATAATCTTGATATCAATCATTTGGTTCCCAAATCATAAAAGCATTGAGAATATGATAAAACACTCAACAGAGGAAAAATATATATTGAGTTGAAAAAAAAGTAATCCATAAGAAATTACTTTTGGGTTCTATCTACTTCTAAGTCAATTGAGTAAAAAGACATCAAAGAGAAGAGAAGAGAGATTAAAGAATAACTCCGTTATTGAAGAAGCATCATGACATTATTCCTCCCAAACACAAACACGCGCACACACACACACTCTAATCGAAATTATATGTTTTTCTAAGACCTAGGAATCCCTATTTGTATGCTTTCAAAAAGGTTGTGTGCTCGAGAAGTTGGACTTTTCAGTAGTCAACCACAACGCTTGTATGGTCGTTCCTATTTCTTTGTGAATCTTGTGGGCTATGGACCTCCTTCTTCATAATGCTATGGCGGACACCTTTTAGATGTTATATTTTAGCTCCGACATTCCAACGCTCCATTATCCTAGCGCTCCAATACTCCATTAATTTAGCGCTCCAGCGCTCTATGTCAATAGGGAAAACCGATATCTGAAAAAAATAAAAAATAAAAAATAAGAGAGAGAGAGGATAAATCACCCAAAAATCCTAAGAAAATAACAAAACAATATAGAACTCCTAACTGTGTCCTAAATAGACGAAAGCAAAGATAAACCTAGATTAGAGTATGAAATTCTCTATATAAGCTTTTGTAATTTATTTCTAAGAAGAAGCAAATAAATTTTTCAATCAAACTAACGTTAATTCTAATTATGAAGATCAAATAATCAAATTAAATGCTTTGTTTCTTTTATATTGACAATAGCTTAGTCAGAATCTATGAGTTTTTTCCACATGTAGATGCACCACGCACCGTTAGTTAGTTCTCAAACTTTTAACAGATACCCTCTCTCTCAATTGGCCCGAAGAGAAAAAACAACTAGCGAAAAGAAGCCATAAAATATTATGTCTATTTTTTTTTATGTTTAATTTACCTATTCTTTTTCCAACAACTGTTATATCACAATCTCATATGATTTTTGTCTTTTCTTTCTTTTTCTTCCAGAGATTGTGATCACACGTTGTTGGAGAAAAGTAGGTAAAGTAAATATGATAAAAATATAAATGATATCCTAATTCCACCAAAATTAAAAAAATATTACAAAGCATACCTGTAAATGCAAGTTATAGAAGACCCTCCCTCCAATGGTTTCAGAGGAAGAAGCACTTAGCAGACAAAATCCATTATTCTCTAAAAACAGCAAGATCTCAGATAGTGGGGTCCTGTAAACCTCATACGATGAAATCTGAATAGCAGCCTCATTAAAGTTGAGCCTAGTTGCAGAAACTACAAAAACAGAATTGAGTTGGGAAATCTTCCTTTGAGATTGTTTCTTCACTGCATCTCCTTGCTGGGAAATCCTCGATAGAAGCTCCTCTTTTTTCTTACTTAATCCTTCTACCTCGTGTTGTAACTCAGGTATGTATTTTACGACTAAGGAAATTGTGTTCGGAACGCTCAATTTTTTCTGCAACATTGACATGAAATGACATCTCTAATGATGATAATTTAGATTCTAATTGAGAAGTAAAGCTGCGGGGTACCACAGAAACTTGCACATGAACACAGGGTTAATGTTAAACAAGCTAGTACTAACGTGTTCTTGTTGGAAGTAGTTGTTTCATCCCGTTTGCATTACTGCTAAATAAGTGCTTATTTTATGCTTGAGTTAGAAAATTAACAAATAAATCAGGTTGCTTTTTATAATTTGTTCAAATCTGGCCGGATGGCCCTGCACTGCCGGCCCAAATAGCTGATAGGGCCACCTCACTTGACTATCTTATACATGTATCCTCTCACACTTCTTACGCACGCATGACCTTCTACACGTCAAAGGTCATGTAGCCTCACATCTAATGGAGCACATAGGATTGAAAATGATTATGACATCACACTTTGAGCACTGAGAGAGAATTTCCAACGCTCTATACAAAGGGATCTTAGCTCCCTCATTCTATCATCTTCTCCATTTGCTCACCATTGTTATTACTCAATAGAAATCTCTCCCCATGCCATAATTGTAGCCCAAGTTCATCCCTTTGTTCACTCTCAACTATCCTGAGCCCAATACGGTGACTCTACAGAGTTTTGGTCTGTACCACTGCCGTAATGAGAAACAGATTCATATCTTTATATTTTGATTCAATTGAAAATTTTATGAAAGTAATATCGACATTGAAAATTTAATATTTTTGTGAAAAATCGGTTTGAATATTAATCAATGAATGAGCCTAAATGCATAGGAGATTGAAACGGGTACATATGTTGTACCCCTTAAACAAGGAAACTAATATATATATATATTTATCTTGTTATTAGTATTCTTAAAATATTTTGATTAATAAACGTCCCAATTGACAATAATCTTTTATCATTTTAGCAATGGATAACATTCTTAATTTCGTGAAGTTGCTGCTTACAAAAGATTTTAGCTACGGATTTAAAGAAGGATTTTATTTGCATGGGAACAGTGTCCTTTTAGTTAAAAGAGGAAGGAAAGAGAGGACTTAAAGTACCGTTTGATGTGGCACCGGAAGAAGCGAACCAAGTGAAGCAATCGAGCGTTTGATCTTCTTGCGACGATCACGTTCACTGGCATTGTGGTTAAGCTTCTTTACTATGGTAGGGTCCGGGGATGGTGGAAACCTCTCAACCTCAACAAGTGGCTTCGGTGAAGAGAATTTATAGGGTAATGAGTTCTCTGAGGACACAGTAGTATTGTTATAAAAGTAGTTCTTCTGGTTATGGGTTAAGGGCTCATTCTCTCTAAGCATATTCATGATTGAGAAAAATGTTGTAGCAATGGAGAATAAAAGAATGATATGGATTTGTTAGAGGCAGTGAATGACTCAATAAAGAAGATCTTTACTTGCATATATAGGTATACGATGTCATACTTTATGTTAGCACCCATGTTTATTTATATGTATATTTTTTTCCTAGTATGCGTTTTTGTTGACTAGGCGCGTATGCAATGACGTTATTTTCTTTTTAATATTGATGACGTTATTATTTTTTTCTATATAATTATGCCATATATTCTCTTTGTGATGCTGCCAATTAAGATTAAGAAAAGATTAGGTATCTGCTGAAAAGACTCCATCAAATATCTTTACCAACGAAATACAATTACTGGATTGCAATTCCTGCAAATAAAGAACGGTCTAATAGAGGAAAAGAAACAAATTATGGCCTTCAATTAAGATCACAAAGACAAATGAGAGCCAGTTTGTTTGGGCTTATAGTAAAAATAATTTTTATCTCTTTCTTATTTTAGAAGTATTTCTTAAAGTAGCTTTTAAAAAAAAATAGTTTTTGACTTTTTTTTTGTGATTTTTTCTTTTTTTAAAAGCAAATATCCAAACACACTTAAAGTGAAAAATGCTTCTTCTTTCTTTTTTTTATAAAAAAACGCAACTTTTGGAGGGGGGAAAGTCCATCCAAACGGACCCTTAATCCACCGTAAGCATGCAATCCATTTTACCTTTCAGAAACTTGGTAAAAAGTATTTGTGATGCAGATTAGATTACTTCTTATTACATAACATGTTATTGTAGCCACACTTTTCTCTCTTCCATACTCGATCAACATGTTTTTCCTCTTATGACAAGCCCGATCTGATTTGTAAATTTACAAATTAACAGTACTATTTCTCCTATTGGAGCGCGTTATGGATTGACTTGACTTCGACCAAATCTTAGGTCTTGCCAAGGATATTGGCCTCTCCAAGTATGTCCTCTCCAAGAAATCCCCTTTGTATAGTGCAGCCTGCAAAGTGTCATTTGGAATCGAAACCATGATCTCGGCTCTAATACCATGTGTTGGATCAAACTAGGGGTGTCAATATAGGTTATGACACGTGGGTCGACCCGCGACACGACATAATAATTCGTGTTCGGGTTGACCCGTAAACAAATTCGTGTCGTGTTCGTGTTGAGGTATTCATATATGTCGACCTGTATTTTTTTTATTTTTTTATTTTTACTTTTTTATTATTATTTTTTAAAAATTTTTAAATTTTGATCCATTTTTTTTAAACTTTTTGTCAACTACTGTTTTGACCTCTATTTTGCGTGTTATTCGTGTCATGTCAACCCGCAAAAAATTCGTGTCGTGTCAGTGTTGAAGATTTTGACATGAATAAAAATTCGTGTCGTGTTCGTGTTGATGTATTCGTGTCGTGTCAAATTCGTGTCGTGTCAACCCGTTTTGACACCCCTAGATCAAACATTTACTACAAGGCCAAAAAGTTATAGTTATTAGTCAAGGCACACCTACCAACTTAAGTGTTATGGTTCGACCTAACTCTAACCCTGTACTGAGCCTAGCCAAATGCCAAGGCAAGGTGTTAGCCTCTCCAACACATTTTGATTTCTATATATACCTCTATGGTCTAATTGTGTTCGGAAATACCGTGAAGAACAACTTTTACAGCTTTGATATCGAGAGAATTAATGATAAATATAAATCTGTGTTAGGAAGAACCTAACAGTAGAAAGGAATAGGAAAACAAATCGTATATTGATTGATTAAAATTCCTCTTACACTTGAGTTCACCTCTTATACTACCAAAGGCTTCACCTTACTAACTGCATAACAATGTCAAACTCACACTAACTAACCATGCCCACACCAACTAACTACTAACATGGACCCGTTATTCATATAAATGACGTGGAATCTTCAAGCCACAAAGTCTCCAAGCCTTACTGACTGCTGCTTCTCCCTTGTAGAAGTCCTTCGTGTAACAGTCCCTCCTTCTTCAGAATTGACCTTGTCCTCAAGGTCCAAGCTTGGATAACGACGTTTAAGATGCACCTCGGACTCCCAGGAAGCGTCCTCTGGTACTGTGTGAGTCCACTGTACCAGAAATTGCTGTTGAGGAACCCCTCTCAACAAAACCTCTTGTGAAGACAGCACTGCCAATGGCTCCTACAGTGGTTTATTATCCATGGCCAATAAAGGCAAGGGTTGGGATGGAATATCAGATTCCCCATTGTATTGTTTCAACAGGGACACATGAAACGTTGAGTGGATTTGGCAGCCCTCTGGTAATTGAAGCTTGTAGGACATGTCCCTAAACCTTTTGACCACAGGATATGCCTAAAAAAATGTTTAGCAAGATTATGATTTGCTTTCCTCTCCACCGAGACTTGTCTATAGGGTTGTAGTTTAACCCAAACTAAGTCCCCCTCAGTGAAGGAACGCTCCCTGAGATGCTTGTTGTAACACCCCGTGTATACTCGGAATATTAACATTACATCGTATTAAGCGGTGATTAATTAAAAATGCGGAATATTCTTTTTCTTTTCAATTATGACGTCATTATCAATTACCAACTTGATTACTTAATCAATTGCATAAAATAACGCCTGTGTGTAAATTGCAATAAGTCATCTACCGAAATACCTCAATATATAAATAAAGTGTGTATCTAAATCACGGCATTACATCTCGTAATCCGGACAATATCCTGATACATTAATACAACTCCAAAAGACTCAAGACATAATAATACTATGTGTCATGGACAATCCCCATGCTCACCATATAAACATAGTAAACAACAAGTCTCAACATAAACTCCAAAAACATAAACTGAAGCTATAAGCATAAAAGCAGCATGCAAATCCAGCATCCAACATGGCAGCATAATATAACAGCAATCTAACTCAACTCCGGCCTCCTGCCGCCTGAGGTCTCAACATTACCTGACCCTGAAATAAGCATTCCCCAAACGTGGGGTGAGATCTCTAAACAAGAAATCTCAGTAAGACAAGGGGTCCTCAAGGATCTTCCACCCCAAGCTCACTTACATGTGCAATATAAGTTCTAAAAACATTTATATCATTATCAGTTCCAAAACTATGTAGTGCAACAGATATCTATGGCATATGCGTAATCACTATCTACTGGCCAGAGAAATGTAGGAATACGTTTATTCCCTACATGTAGTACAAGGAACACCGCTTGCACCTCACCCACAGCCTCACCCTCTTGTATGTTCTACATACTTAGGCTTACCGTATAGGTGGAACACCTCCATGCATATCAACAAGGCACTAACATACAATAGCTCAACGGCATTTCCAAAACATCTAAAGCATGTAACACAGCATGCATATACCATATCCCCATGGGACATGGTGGAACCACAACATGGCTAAACCGAGGACACGAAAGCTTACCTCTAAGCTAGCTATCCAATGCCACAAGCTCAAAGTCCAATCACAGCAGATCACAATCTGATATGGACCAAATATAAATCAATAAACATGTACCACATGCATACAAATTAAAGACAACGCATTTTCATTACTTTTTAAGTCTTAAAGCTTCTAACAAAGCCACAAGCCCTTAATCCCATGATTCTGGCTTAGTCCAATAAATACAGAAGTTCAACTTCATCAAACTAGGGTCCACAAACCCCCAATAGCCTACTGAACACACATCACAGCTACTGTTCCACGAAATCCCAGAATATCCGGATATTCCTCGGGACCATATCCGGATATGCAATATCCGGATATCACACTGTCCATATCCGGATATCCGGATATACAGATTCACACCAAAACCCCATATCCGGATATCACATATCCGGATATCCAATATCCGGATATTCCATGGGCAGATATTTGGATATTTCACGACATAATGCAGTTTCTACATTTCGTGAAGATATCCTTCAAGGTTGGGTTTTTACCATTTTTAAACACTTAAACATGCATTTCTAGGTGTGTTCAACATTACCCAACAACAAGTTATCATCTTTTAGTCATTAGATGCATCAAGGTACCATTTTTAAGCATTTAAACTCAAGTTAAAGGGTGGTACAACATACCAAGGCTCAAAACTCAGAATGGAGATGCTCTTGGAGCTCAACACAGCCCCTCAAGTCTGACTCAAGGATGATGCACGAAAATGTAACACAAGATGACTCTTTTACTCAACAAGAAGGCACCTTGGAGCATCAAAATGCCAACAAAAGGTCACACCCCTCAAGAACAGAAAACACAACTCCCTCACACCTCTCACAACAGCTGGACTCCCACCAAAAGGCTCTCTTTTCACTCAACAATGATGCTCTCAAGTGTTTACAAGAAGAAAAGAGAAGGATCAATGCTAAAGATCCCAACTTGGCTCAAGAGAAGGTGAAGGAGACCAATGGAACAGTGCTCAAGCAGCTGGTCAGCCTCTCTCACGAAGGGAAATTAAGTATCTAGGGCAATGTGCCCTTAGTAAGTGTATAAATAGCCAACTCACACTTAATCACGCAGTATTAGCTTTAATTGCTACGCTTAGCATTTTATTCCCAAACTTTGGATTATGAAACAACATAATTTTCTAAGATTTATAATATTTTTATTATATTTTTCTGAGCACCTTTCCGGTAGGCGCTTTTCAAAGCCAGTACCGATTTCTAGCACCAGTTCTCATTATTTGGACTTGAAACTCGTTTTACAAGTCCTATATATCATTCTAGTAATTATCATGCACTTATATTAATTTTATGGGATACTTTTTCGGTACGCATTTATACCGACTAGCAGAATTGGTATCAGCACTTTTCTTCCGAAAAGCGACTTTCCGCATTCTAACCCACTTATTATAATTAATAAGCCTCACAAATAATTATTAGGGTCAATTATGGAATCATTTCCTATTTTCACATAATTAATTAATTAAATACCTTAATTAACGGTGCGGGTTCTTACATTCACCCCACCTTTTTAGGATTTTGACCTCAAAATCAGAAACATACCTGGTCGAAACTCGGGGTACTGCTGGAGAAGCTCGTCCTCACGCTCCCATGTACACTCCTCAGGAGTTCTTC